CATCGATAGTAATGGGCTTTTGGAAAACTCAGTCTTTATTCACCTTTCACCTCCTCCCAATCCACTAAATAATAACTCCCCTGATAATTGCGACAAGCAAAGAGATATTTTTTACCGATAAAAGCATCGCTTTCTAAGGCGTTTCAGACCGCGAGTTTAGTTTTGCCTTTAAAAGCAAAGAGTTTATTAGGAGCGGAATATTCTGGCAAGTTCACTTTTAGCTGATAATAATGCTGAGTATGCTCGGAATTCTTGCGGGGATACTTTTTTTGAATAGTGCCAGTGAATTTATAAAGATATTGAGTGCGTTTTTTAGTCATTAGAGTTGTTTATTTTCGCAGTTGGGGCAGGATTTATTAGCTCAGAATTTAAAGAAATTTAGGAAGCCGAGAGATTGGCCGCATTGGGGGCAATGATTATAAGTCATAAAAACCTCCCGTTTTCCCGGGCTTAAATTGATAAGTTTGGCAGCATTTACACTGGTAAATTCAAAAAGGTTGATTATTTATTCAGCGAGGTAAGCCTTGGATTTGAGCTTGACAGTTAGCGGAGCAGTTATCTAACGGGGGACTTGGTATTAAAATGGGCTTAAAGTTAGTAAAAGTTAGGTTATTCATCCGCTTCCTCTTCCTCTGCTTTTTCGTCCTCGTGGTCCGGGCCGTTAACCACTCGATAATAAGCTTCAATTATTTCGTGTAAGAATAGCCTTAACTGCTCCTTTTCTTGCTTTAATTGGGTGATTTTTTGCCGCAGTTTATTCATCTTCTTCATCCTCGCTTTCGTACTCATCCATTAAAGCGGCCAGGCCTGGTTCGGTTAAAGGTTGGTCAAATTCATCGTATTTACCTTTAATTATTTGGTCTTCTAAGAGGTTTAAGGTTTTTTTGAGGTTAGTTATTAGGTCATAAAGGAGGTCGGAACTTCAAGTTTCGGGGTCCGTGGCGTTAAGTATTCGTGCCTCGTCAATTTGGTCTAATAGTTGGCTTAATTTAGCGAGTTTAGCGATGATTTTTTGGGCTAGTTCTTTAGTCATTATAAGTTGCCCTTTCATTGCTTATACTCTTGCGAGAGTTTTCAATCTACTCCGTATTTGGCTTTTAGTTCGGCTATTCTTTTGTTATCTCGCTCTTCGTGCCTCTTTCGGATTTACTCGGGGGTTTCTTTTTTACCATCCGCTTTGCGGTTTAAATGCTCAGTATCTTTGGTCACATCGGGGTCTAATTCGTCGGTGGTGGGGATTAAAAAGAATTTGGTTAAGAAATATTTAATGGCGTAAGTTTCCGCACAACCTTTGGCTTTGACGATATCTT